TGATGCGTGGGGGGTGGCTGGGGTAGGGGGAGAGATTCACCACGTGGCATGCCCAGGAGTGTTTTCTGCACAGACCTGGAGCGTGAGAAGGCCTCTCCACCTCCTTTCTCGAAGTCTCTCTGTTGGTGTGGAACTGCCCGCCTGGCCAGGCCCTAGGGCAGAAAGTGGGGAGCAGCTCCATGTGGGGTGCCGGGGCCATCCCAGAGGTCCAGGGCACGGCCCTGCTGTGACACTAATCCAGGCCTCAGAGCAACCCCAGATGGCGGTCAATGTCCATTCCAGGGTCATGGCTTCCCAGGCCCCGAAGGACAGCATCTGGCTAGGGGAGGGCCGGGGCACCCCTGCGGCCACCTGTGGCTCTACGTGCTGGTCCTCGCCCCCTGAGACTTTCGCCTCCTGTCTCGCCCAGACGTGAGCTCTGGGAAGCCCGGTCTTGCCTGATTCTCACCAGGCACCTGGCACACAGCACACGCCTGGCCCATGCCGGCCCTTGGCACGTGAGCCTTGAATGAACAAATGAGCGTATCTCGGAGCCTTTCCTTGGCAGTTAGGGGGCTGTCTGGCTGCTGGACAGGGCCCTGAGCTGCAGCCTGAACCCCCCTCCTGGGAACTGAGGGGGGCTGCGTTCCTCCCATTCCTGGGACTGCAAGAGGCACATTCCTGTCGCTGAGTCTGGTCGGGCTCCTGCCACGCGGCTTGGTCTAAACTGCCAGACCTGGGCAGGCTTCCCTGGAGCGGGCCTTTGGTCCTGCCTGCCATGGGACACCCCCTGGCTGCTCCCGGCCCGCGGTGGCACCTGCCTCTGCTGTCTGGGGCTCCAGGTGGGAGCCGGGGCCGCTGAGTGCGTCTGAAGCCTTGGGCCCTCCCCGGGCCTCTGGGGGGCTGATGAAAAAGCTGAGCAGCCTGCTCCCAGGGCCGGGGCCAGGGCCCGGGGAAGCCGATGGAAAACACTCCTGCGAGTTGGGCTCCTGCGCCCGTCAAAGTGCCGGCGTCAGCACTTCTCCTGACGGCCGTGCCGAGTCAGCAGCCGGCAGCTCTGGAGCTGCCTCCCAGAACCACGAACCCACAGGGCTGAGCAAGGAGCCCAGGGCCGGGGCTGCGGGGTGTGGGCGACGGCCATGGTTCTCACCCAGGGCCGCCACGTGCTGGGCTGCAGAAATTCCAGACCAGGCCTTGGGGACTTGCAGCCTCAGGGAGGACAGACACGGGGCTCATGGGCACACGGCTATCTGCCAACCACAGACAGGTGGGCCATGGCAGGCCAGACAGTAAATATTTTGGGTACAAGGGGTCTGGCCCTGGCCCCATCACCCAACCCTGCCCCTGCCACGTGAAAGCAGCAGCCACGGACAATGCATCAGTGGACGGCTATGGCCTTGTCCCCTACAGAGATGGTGTGGGTGGGACTGGGCCCACAGCTTGCTAGCCCCCGGGGTGACAGGGCCCAGCCTGGTGCAGCGCTGGGGTGAGGGTAGGGCAAAGGCTTCCCTGAGGCAAGATTAGCTCCTTACCCCCCTGACCACAGCGCCCACCCTGCGACCCCACTCGGCGACTCGGCCATGGCTGGGGTTGGGGATGCTTTTCCTCCCCGTGTCCTTCAGCCTAGGGGTGCTGGGGCCTCGCCACACTTTACAGCTCTGCCCACTGAAGTCTTTTCACGTGAACTGGCTGGGGTCTTCTGTCTCCTCCCAGGACTCTGAGCTGCAGTTTAGGTGACTTGCGGGTGACTGGTCTCCCGTGCCAATTAACACCAGCGTCAGGTGGAGGAGGTGGGGCGGGGGCAGGGACAGAGCACCTGGCTGCACCTGGAGCAGGCCGGCCTGGGACTGGCTCCCATCACGGCAGGGTCACAGGAGGCCAGCACAGCAGGGCCTCCTTCCCACCAGGGCTCCAGGGAGGCTCTCGGATTTTCGGGGCCTGGCTCCTGGTCGTCAGGCCTCTGGCTTCCTTCCTAACCCTAGCAGAGGGAGCTGGGGCTGGGGGCAGTGGCTGGGGCAGGGGGAGGCCCTGGTCTCTCCCTCAGGAAGGAGGAGGCAGGGCACAAGTGGTGCAGTGAAGGGACTGCCAGGGTCAGACAGCTGCCCGGAAGGCAGGAGGCAGCCTTTGCCGCCATCTGCCCAGGGAGAAAGGGGTCTGCAGGCTTGCTGAGCGGCAGGTGCCAGGAAGAGCCAGGTAGGCAGGTGAGGACCCTGGGCTGGAAGCAGGACTGAGGGGCCAAGGAGGAAGGGGCTCTCTGAGACACGGCCACGATGCTGCACCCACAGGATCCCCTCGTGCTTTGGACCAAAGGTCCACCTGGTGCCACAGCCAGGTCCTCCATCCACCCCCTCACCCCCAAACCCAGCAGTGACAGACATTCAATAAGCAACAAGTCAGGCCCACACTGGTGAGCACCCTACAGAAGCAAGGGCAGACATGGGGACACGAAGGGAACAGGGCTCAGGGCCTGAGCAAGGGGCCTGGGGTAGAAACTGCACAGGGGGCTTGCTACTCTTGGCAGAGTCCAGCCCGTAGATGGAGAAAGCTGCACCCTGTCCTGCCCAATGCCAAAGGCGACAACAGTCCCTCTGCCACGGCTGCAGCCTGTCTCTCTCTGCTCATTGGCTCCAGCATGCAAGGAGAGAGCAGGGGCCTTGGACCAGGGTGGAAATGGAGTTCAGTGGCAGGAGGGACACTGAGAGCAGCTGGGGGGGTAGGAAGTGTGGCCCTGGGACTTCCTGGCACATGGAAAAGGCCAGAGACATGGCTTGTCCTGTTGAGGCACATGAGCCAGGTAAGGCCGTTGTGGTTCATGGTGGTGGTGGTGGCGGTGGGGTCTCAGAGAGCAAAACACTGCTCTCATTCTGCTCCCAAATTCTGGCACTGTTGGGGCCAGTGCTGTGGCGCAGCAGATTATAGCCCCGGCCTGCAGTGCCGGCATCCCATATGGGCGCCAATTTGAGTCCTGGCTGCTCCACTTCTGATCCAGCTCTCTGTTATGGCCTGGGAAAGCAGTAGAAGACAGCCCAAGTGCTTGGGCCCCTGCACCCACGTAGGAGACCCGGAAGCTCCTGGCTCCTGGCTCTGCACATTGCGGTCATCTGGAGAGTGAACCAGCGAATGAAAGAGCTCTCTCTCTCTCTCTCTCTCTCTCTCTAATTCTTTCAAATAAATAAAATAATCTTTAAAAAAAACCTGGCACTGTTTCCTGAACAAATAAATACATGGGGTCTTCAAAAAGTTCACAGGAAATGCAAGTTATGGGAAAAAAAAAAAAAAAAAAAACTATGCAGGGATTCCAAAACTCCTTAGCACAAAATAAGCTCATCTTTTAATTTCACTTCCCAGGAACTTTGTGAAGCCCCTGGTGGTCCTGAGGGCCAGTCTCGCTCGGCTTTCTTTCTGCGCCTTCAGTGATCACGGTGAATTCTGAGGCTGCTTCCTGTCCCCTCCCTGGCGGGGGACTGTGCACCTGAGGGGACAATGCTGACTGCGGCGAGAGTGTTCTAGAACATGCACAGAGAAGGTGGCGGCCAGAGCACAGACATGCCCTTGGGTCACCTTGCTGGCGGTCATGTGTCCCGCAGGGAAAGCAGTGGATCCAATGTAACAGTGGAAACTCCGGGACCGTGAAGCTCATGGCGGGGCCTTGTCTTGTGCTATGGGCAACAGCATCTGCTCTACCCAGTTACCAGAGGACCCGGGGGGCTGGGGACAGGGCCTGCCTCCCACGCGGGGGCCGTGAGGACATCGGGAGGCAGGGCAGGGGCCACGACACTGCCCCGCGTGCGCTCTCCCAGTCCGGGCACCAGGGAGGAGAAAGTGGCTTGAGTAGGCACACAGGCTGGGGGTGTGGCAACACCAGGCAGACAGCAGGGGCTCACCGCGCATCACATGCTACCCGGGTGCCTTGTGAATGGCACATAGTTCCGGGCATTTCAGCTCTCCTGAGTGAGATAAGGACACGGAGGCGCAGAGGGGTGACGCCACTTGTCCAGGACTGCAGTGGCCTAGAACCCGGGCAGCACACCCAGAGCTGAAACCAGGAGGGACAGCGCTGCCAGACCCCACCCTGGGCAGCAGCACGGTTAGAGTACGAGGGAAAGGCACCCGTCCAGACAGCAAGGCGGCAGCGGCCAGCCCCCAGAGCAGCTCCCCGTGGCGGCAGAGTGCCATGCGGGCACACACCTCCCAGGTGTCACAGCCACCTTACAGGTGACTACTTCAGGTCGAGCACCCCTACACCCAAAACCCCAAATGCTCCAGAACCTGCAACGTTTTGGGGGCCGACATGATGTCACAAGTGCAAAGTTCCATGCCCGCCTGACCTCATGGCTGAAATACTAACGACTACCTTCCAGCTACGTGTGTAGGATGGACGGGAAACATGAGTGAACTGCCTGTTTAGACTCGGACCCCATCCCTAAGATATCACATGATATATATGCAAGTATTCCAAAATCCCCCCAAAATTCAAACTCCAAAACACTTGCGGTCCCAGCAACGTGGGTACGGATGCTCAGCCTGTAGTGTGTTACCTGCGTTCCATGGCCAAGGCCACCGCAGACCACACAGCTGGGGATGAGCCGAGCTGGGTGTCCTGAGCGTGTTAATCAGCCGGAGGCTCAGGGAAGATGAACCACCTGTGCCCGGGGCACCAAAGACTCCAGGCATCCCAGGTACTCACCAGGGCACAGAAAACCCAGCCTGGGCAGCAGCCCCGATGGGAAAGGCCCAGCTGCCCAGGAGAGAGGGCCCTGGGGTTTCCTCTGACCTTGCCTCTCTTGGCCTCCGTTCCAGGCTCCAGCAGAAGGCCCACACAGCAGTGGCGCCCCCACCCACCACACACAGAGGGGCACCCTGATCAGGACCCTGGACAGGCTAGGGTGGTGTGGGCAGGCATGGCCGGGTCTGAAATGGTGCCAACTCAATCGCACATGCAGGCCGCGTGGTCAGGGCCTACCCGGGCAGCCTCATTCCGGGGCGTCGCGGGTTTGGCCAGCTCAGAGCAGCTGCCGTACCTGCAAGATCTTCCTTGGAAGAAACGAGTCTCGGAGAGCTGCTTCCTGGTTCGATTCTGAGCGACAGTCTGAAAAAAAAAATATATATATATTTTCACAAGATCAGAGGGGCTGTGGTTTGTCACAGGGGGACCACAGGTGGGGGGTGGAGGGGGGGAGACTGAGCAGCTGAGAATGGCGACATTAGCACAGAGCCCAGGAAGGCCCCGCCCTCCGAGGTCACCAGGGGACCAGGGAAGACTGAGCGAGAAGGGTGACTGAGCACCGCATTGTATACCTGTAGGGGGAGCGAGGCTGTCGCCTTCCCAGATCCGCAGGGGCCAGGGCAGGGCATCCAACTCAGGACCGTGTGACCCTGAGCCAGGGCCTTCAATCATCGCCCTGCCCTTCCACTCGGCCCATGTCCCAGGGAGGCACGCAGCGTACTCCCGGGACTGGCACCTCAATATTTTGTCTTAAGCACAGATTAGGAATTCCTGGGTGAAAATGACAGCATAAACTGGATGCCAGACTCTCTGCCTCCCGACAAAACCAACCAACCATTATGAAAGCTCACGAGTTCAAGAATGCACCAGCTGCGCCCAGGATAAGGGAAGGGGCACAATCTATGGCCGCAAGCTTCAAAACTTGTGGCCAAGGCAAGAAAAAGAAAAATCTGGAGTTGGATCAAGACTCGGCAACCGGCATGGCATCCACTCTGTGGATGCGGGCAGGGAACGCAGGGAACGAGTGGAGGGTACATGTGTGGCGGACTTGGATGGACATGAGGAGTCCCCGGGGCAACAGCTGAGATCTGGGGTGCCCCTTTCTGGGGTGGACGACAGCCCTAGCAAGGTGCAGGACACTCTGACCTAGCGCTTTGCAGGAGCCCACCCGGATGAGGGGAAACCAGCTCCTCTCAGTGCAAGATGCGAAGAAACAAGCGGTCCAGCAACGGCAGACCTGCTTTTTACGAGAGGGAAAGAGAAAGGGAGGGAGCGCGGGCCCCGGCCACACCCAGGAGGCAGCCGCAGGAGCCGGGGAACCTCCCCGCCTCCCCAAGAGCTTTGAGCAGGGGAGCAGCCTGTTACAAATGTGGGTTGAACAAGGCAAAGCCTGCAAAGTGAGAGAGGACCACGCAGGGGTAAGATGAAGGGCAGACTGAAGACCCAAGGGAGCAAACCAAGGCCTGAGAGATGCCCAAGGCAGAAAGGATCGCCCAGGGACTGCGGAGATCAGCGTGGAGGGGACCGCTGCCAGAGAGGGGCTGACGGACACGGAGGGTGGACAGCACCCACGCGTGGGCTCCCGGAGAGGGAAGCCAAGAAATGGCGCGGAAGAAGTCGCCCAAGACGCAAAGCAGAGGAATTCCTCTGAAATGGAGACGGCCCGGCGTGGCCCAGGGAAGACTGGCACAGAACTGGCTGTGGCCGGTGCTCCACGCCAAACTTCAGGGAATGGCTTACCCGCCCGGCAGACAACACAAGCCCCTTACAAGGGGGAAACGTCAGACCGGCTGCGGCTTCTGCACACTGCACCCGTGCCAGGAGGCAGCAGAGCGAAGGTCAACTGTCCGCGGGCGCGGGGGTGGTGGTGGGGGAGAGGGGCCAGCCCCGCCAGGCCAGGCCCAGGCAGATGCAGATGGCCTCACAGGAGAACAGGCAGCACAGGGCCCACTGGGCCAGGGCACCCCCCTCCGATGTCCCAGGGACGGAGACAGCTTGGGGAAACAGCAGGTGGGCAGAACTGACCTCTGCTCAGAAAGGTTAAGTTAGTAACTTGGGACCACCTCGGGGTGCAATTCACAGACTGAATTGAGGGGGCAGTGGAGGTGGCGGAGTGGACAGCGCTAACGGTCTCATCTTTCACGGCCCGGGTCCCTGATGCAATGGAGCCAGGCTCTCGGAGTTTCTCCTGACCTCTTTTATTAATCTTAGAAGGCTCTTTCAGGAAACAGTGTATCTTGTGGTAAAGAAATGTTTATTTATAGAGCAGCAATCCCTTGCATTTTTATTTCAGTTCCTTTTTCTGGCTAAATTGAAATAAAATAAAAGGTAATACTTTTAATTAAACATAGGAAGTGTAGTATGAGCCAATGTTACTACATCCTATACTGGCATCCACAATCAATCCTATCCATCCATCCTATACACATTTCCACACGTAGAGAAGCATCCAAATGTGTGTTCTCGGAATGCTAATGGTCATGTTTCCAGGTGGTGGGAATTTGGATATTTTTTTCTTAAATAGAAACACAAAGCACTGGCGGGGGATTCCCGGCAGAACCTCTCACAGCAGGTGGGGATGGGGAGTAACTGAGTCACTGTGTCCTTTGCAGGGCAGGGCCAGGGTGCAGGTGTGAGCCAGGTGGTGGGGTGTGTACCTCGGGCAGGACCACAGGCCCTGCCCATCACCTGTCACTCACAGGCTCTGCCCGCTTCCTGCCACTTAGAGCTAGGACCTTCCAGGGAAAGAGGGGACCCCTTGATGGGCTGGGGCCAGGGGTGAGAATCCCGCAGGCCACTTGACCCCAACTGAAACCCCGGTCTGACTGTTGTTCAGCACTGAGCGCCAAGTGGAAGGACTAACTGCACAATCTGCAGCTTGTCCAGGGATGGCCTCACAGCCACAGTAATTATGGGCCATTTTCTCCTTAAAGGATATTAGCGTTAGTGAAACACTGCTGTCTCTTTCATCGCAACCCTGGCCCACGGATGGGAAGTTTGATCCCAGGAATCTAAGTGGGAATAATTTCTGGTGCCAGGGCACTCTTTTCAGGAACAGCGAGTACTTTGTCAACACAGTGAGCTCAGCTTCGGGCAGAGGGAGCCTGAGTGGCGACCTCTGGCCTCCGCCTGCTGCTGTCCGTGTCAGGGAACAGTTCTGCACCGTATTTCATGTTGACAGATCACTTCACAACAACAGCTGAAGACATTATGGCTGTGCTACCACAGACCATCAGAGCCACCTGAAGGCTGTGGGAACAAAACAGTCGTCTAGCCCCAACCCGAGACACGGGAGTGCTCAGGGTGTCTCAGGCGGCTGAGCCAAGCCAGGGCTGTGACCCGCTCCCGTGGTGCTGGTCGGGCAGGGCTACTGGGACGGCCCCTGGGACCCTTCCCGGTGAGCGGGTCACGGGCCACCTGGCGGCGTCACTAGTGGCCACGGTTCTCAGGCTGATCAAATCTGCAGACACAAAACTGGAAGAGACGGGGGAAAAATGACTGGATAGGAAGATTCAAAGAAATCACGCTATGCTGGAAGCAGATGGGAAGGCAAGACTTTAAAGGAATACAGGTCAAGGGGATGCTTAGGCAGCGAATAATCAGTTACAAGATGGCCGACACTCGCCTTGACATCAAGCTGCGTGAAACAGTACTGAGGCCCTCAGTGGACCTCAAACTCAAAATGGGCTGAGAGGGTGTGCACCCAACAGGACAGATGGAGTCGACATGAAAGGCCCTCCTTCTGGGCAGGCGCTGTGGTGTAGCAGGTTAGGCCTCTGCCTGCAATGCCCGCATCCCATGTGGGCACCAGTTCGTGTCCCGGCTGCTCCACTTCTGATCTGGCTCCCTGCTGGTGGCCTGGCAAAAGCAGCAGCAGATGGCCCAAGTACTTGGGCTCCTGCCACCCACTTGGGAGACCTGGATGAGGCTCCGAGCTCCCGGCTCTGACCTGGCCCAGTGCTGGCCATTGTGGTCATCTGAGGAGTGAACCAGGGATGGAAAGCTCTCTCTCTGTCTCTGTCCCTCCCTCTCTATAGCTTTGACTTTCAAATCAATAAGTCTTTTTTATAAAATGTCCTCCTTCTCCCTTGGAAACAAAGCAATGCAGGATAAACTCCCAGGTCCCACAAATGGAGAAGGAAGTAAACACTAGCAGATGAGTGGAGTACGAGGTCAAGGGCCCGTGGGCGTCTGCATGAGAGCTGGCTCTACCCGGTAGGGACTGCACGGGCGTGGCGCTGGCCAGAACCAGACAGAGTCCTGTAGAGAGGTGAGAGGTCACAGGGATGGTCCCGCCATGAAACGGGCTCTGGGAGGACCCTGCCCAGCTGGAGATCCAGCAGAAAACTACCCCTCCCCCCGCGCCGTGGGAGGGGAGCCACTGGGGGGAACCAGGGCTGAAAGCCTGCTCCAGACTCAGCTGTGGAGGCCAAATTCTCGTCTCCAGGCTGCGTGGGAAAGCCACGCCCACTGAGAAACAAACACGGCACCTTCCTCAGACCGTGGGGTTGGGGGTGCATGTGAGGGGCTGTTCAGACAGCACCCCTGGGGGGTTGTCCGTGCGTGTACGGGTGCTGCTGCACGTGAACCCCAAAAGCCCTGTGGGTGGCTGCTCACTGGGACCCACAAAGGCCAGGCTACCTGCAGGGACCTGAGCGCCAAGGGCAGCGGCAGGCTGGGGGACTTGACGGACGCAGGAGTGGGTGGGCTTACTTGTAGTTGTCATCCTCCACAAACTTCTGGAGCTCCTCGATGTAGCGTACGGACTTCAGGTACTTCTGCACGTGGGGCAGGGTCGTGAGGTGATCTGCAACAGGCAGACAGAGCCAGAGGGTTCAGTCTCTCCCCACCTCCAGGCCCCAGACTGCAAGTGTGGGGGCCTCTGATCGCAGGTGCCCCTTGGGGACTCAGACTCACTCGTTCTTCAATGGTTGCTGCTGCTTCCTGGGGCCAGGTCCTGCGCAGGGCACTGGACACAGAGGGGTCATCAGGCTGGGCTCCGCCCCCAAGTAACACCCCTCCCACCCACCCATGGCTACACCGGACCCCACACTGAGGCCATCATGACTCTCTGGCCGGGAAGAAGCCAAGCCTCCATGCAGAGCCCAGGGGCTGAGGAAAGATGGCTCCCTGGCCTCCAGGACAGGTGGCCCCGGCCAGGTGTCCAGCGGGGTTACTGGGCACGTGATCCACACCTGCCCACCCCCTGTGTGACATGAATCAACGGACAAACTGGAGGCTGCCGTCCTTGATGCCAGCATCCCATGTCAGAGCGCCAGTTTGAGTTCCAGCTGCTCCACTTCTGATCCAGCTCCCTGCTTATGTGCCTGAGAATGAGGTGTCTGATGCCCCAAGTACTTGGTCCCCTGCCACCTGTGCGGGAGGCCAGGATGGAGTTCCCGGCTCCTGGCTTTGGCTGGGCCCACTCTTGCCTGTTGCGGGCATTGAGGGAGTAAACCAGTGGACGGAAAATATCTCTTTCTCTGTCTCTACTCTCTGTGTCACTCTGCCTTTCGAATAAATAAATAAATTTTTTAAAAAAGAATAAACAGATCCAGCCAGCCAGCTGTACAGCTTGACCCAGATCCTGGCCCACGACTGGAGCCGCTGAGAAGAGAGGCCCTGATGCTCAAGAACCTGCTGTGCGCCAGATGACCCACGGGGGCCGTCTGCTCTCACCCCAGACCCGCCTCCTGGGGAAGAAGAGTCCCCATTGCCCGGAGGAACAGGCAGCTCGCAAAGCCGCGTGGCTGGGAGGCAGCCCCAAGCCCCGGGAGGCTCCGCCACGTCCACGTGCCATCGGGGAGGCTGATGCCAGCTTTCTCCGCAGACCCTCAGGGTCACGCACTTCTGAGATGACCTCCGGCGGCACAGGGCAAGGCAGGGTGACAGGAGTACAGGTGACTGGAGGCAGAGGAGAGGCTGGAGAGCTGGGGGCACCGGGTGGCTCCAGAGCCCCTGAGGGTGAGGTTCTGAATGTGGCATTTTGTCTCTCCGAAGCCCCACCGTGTGATCCCCTGGGGTGAGGAACAAGAGGGGCTCCGCGGGCGATGGTGACGGGCGACAGGGAGCGTTTGCTGAGCTCTGGTGAAAGGGGGCCTGGGCGGGAGCTGTGTGCATCGCGGCCCCGCGTTCACACACGGGAGAACCTGCTCCTCGAGAGGCAGAGCTGGGATCTGAGCTCTAGTCTGCCCGGCCCCAAGCCCCGGTCTGGGACTGCTTGGCTGGTGTCCGCGTTTCTGTGAGTGGAGAGAGCCTGGGGTAGGGGAGGCCTGCACAGGGCACGCAGGCCAGGGTCGGAGGAGAGCAGAGCTCGGACGTGGCCAGCCCCTCCCCAGGAGCAGGGCCCTCCCCGAGGCCTTCCCAGGTGGAGGCCGCTGGCTCCCTCCCGGCCCAGGTTCCACAAGAGAGCAGCATCCCCCTGTGCCCCTTCCTGCTTGCTCCCTCTTGGGAACGGCCTGCTCCCCAGGCACCAACTCCTACAGCTCCATTACCCATGGCCCTCTTCATGCCACCTCCTCCTGGCTGGCCGCCTGGTCATTCACGGAGGACTCGAGCACCTGGCTCACAAGGCCACCGTTCTCGTGGGTGAAGCCGCTGCCCCCGCGAGGGCCCTCAGGGCCTGGACCTCAGACCCCACCATCGCAGTCCCGCTGCGTCTGGCCGAGCTGCCAGCCCACCACCAATGCCCCCCCTTGCCTTCCAGGCCACAGCTTGATGGAATCGCCCAGCTGCCCCGGCAGAAGCGATGGCACCCCGGGCCGGACTGGCCCACGAACCCCACATCTGTGTGTTCCTGTCTCCCCGCATCTGCCAGCCCACCAGGAGAACGCTGCGGCCACGGCAGACGGCCCCCGAATCTGCCTGGGAACTGCCCGCTAAGCTGCTCCTGAACGAGCGACTCAGCGGCCGGACAGACCTGGGCTGGGCAACGTGTGGGACCTGAGACAGGGACTAAGCTGTCCTCGGCCTCAGTTTCCCCTCCCGTAAGACAGCAACAGTAACACCTAGTCTGCAGAGTCTCTGGAGGCCAAACCCATGTGTAATGGATCCAGCACATGTCTGCTGCCCAAGAAAGGAACATGGAGCGCTTTGTGGGGCCTTCCCGGTTTCCAGAACTTTCTCGTCCGTAAGGTGCGGCCCAACCCAAAGTTCACTGCTGTAAGATTCCACAGTTCCAGCGACCAAGGGCACTGACCGTAGCTGCAGGAAACTTGCAAATCGGCAATTATCCGGAGAATATTGTTCATCTGGTTGGATCTCTGCTCGTTTTCCATGATGCTGCCTGAGGCAGGGTATGCGGAATCAATGTAGATTAAATCCAGGAGATAGATCCCTAAAATTAAAGGAGATTTTTAATGACGGTAGGAGCTCACCATTAATCAGAGTCTCTGTCGGAAGGCATGAACAGGGCCGCATGGAAAACTTTAACTCCAGACCTGACTGCTCATTTTTCATGCAGTCGGCTCATCTGTGAATCAGACATCTGAGCAGCAACCAAACCCAGTGCTGGCAGATCCTGCGCTTTCGCTCACACGCTCTCCAGCGGCACGCCTCTCACCTGCGCCCCGAACGGAAAGTTACAGGACGTGCGGGGTGGGTACCTGGTGTTTCTTACCCACCGATGGGGTTTCATAGGTCTAAGGTGCTGTCTGTCTACTTGTCCATCTGTCCGCACACAAACTCACACTCACACAGGCATACGCACAAAAATCATAAATTAACAAGAGACAAAAGAGGAAATGAAAAAGTGTAAACTCTCAGTAGAAAAAATTAAGGTTATCCAGAGAATTCTCTTGAGGGTGATTAACAGGAAATTAAGGTGTGTGTGATATGAAACCAGGGCTATGACAGGCCAGGGATGAGCTGGGGGGATTTCAGGACGAGCTGCCTGGCTGTGCAGCCCGGGCCACTCCACAGCTCACAGCTGCCTGGTTGGCTGCAGCGCTGCGCCTCGGACTAGCTGGAGATGTGGACGCACAGCGGATGGCAGGTCCTCCAGCAGCCCTCTGTGAGCACTGCCCTGTACCCAGCACTGGTGCAGGAAGGCAGGGGGAGCGATGCAAATCAAAACTCAAGGCAGAAAACACTGAGCAAGGCAAAGAGAAGTGGCTGATCTGGAAAAGCACCACGCAGGGCCAGCGTTGTAGCACAAAGGATTAGGCCACTGCTCGTTACACCAGCATCCCGTATGGGAGTGCTGGTTGGAGACCAGGCTGCTCTACATCTGATTCAGCTCGCTGCTAATGTGCCTGGAAAGCAGCGGATGACCCAAGTCCTTGGGCACTGTCATCTGCCACCCACGTGGGAGACCTGGAAGAAGCTCCTGGCTCCTGGCTTCGGACTGGCTCAGCTCCAGCCATTGTGGCCATCTGGGGAGTGAACCAATGGATGGATGTTTCCTCTCTCTCTCTCTCTCCCCTCTCCCCACTCTCGTCTTCCCTCTCTCTTCTCCCTTTCTCTCTCCCTCTCTATAACTCTACCTTTCAAATAAATAAATAATCTTTAAAATAAATCTGTTTGAAGACAATGACAAAGAAGAATGTTACACATCAAAACTTACGGGTTCTGGCTAAAGTGGTAATCAGAGGAAAATTTATAGCCTCAAGAAAGTTTACCATTAAACAACTAAGAATGATTACAAGTCTAGGAATTAATCGGGGGCCGGATAGAAAAGTTATGGGGGTTTCGCATGGGCGGATGCACGCTGTGCTGTTACACAGCCATCACCTCCTGACCCTCCCAAGAGCCCATTTTATAAAGGAGAGGATGTGTAACTCGCCCAAGGTCACACAGCTGCTAAATGACGGGGATGGGAGTTGAACTCAAGTCTGCCTCGTCCAGAGTGTGCGCTTCCTGCCATCACAGTGGGCCACCAGTGCTGGATACCATGAGTCACTCGTCTGCTTTTAAAATAGCTGCACAACGTTACGGGAAACCGTTGAATCGCTGAAACACATGCTAGCACTTCTCATAGGGGCCATGTCTGCTTCCCCTCTTTCTGGCTGCACCGTGTTTCCAACATTTTTAGAATTGGAAATGATTTCCCTTGTATGGAAACTTCAAGTACGGTAGATTTGAATACACAGATTTATTCTTTCTCTTGACCTTGATTTTCCTCTCCTCTCTTAAAAAAAAAAAAAAAGTAACTCAGTTACCTCCCTGAAGAGTCAACAATGTCAATCCTGAAAATCCCATTACTGTTTCAACCACAGCAAAAATCACCCTCCTGGGCTGAGCAGGGCGCGCAGGATGTGGGCAGGGACCCAGACGCACATGGCGGGGCAGGGAAAGGAGAGGGAGAACACTGCTGTCTCCTGGGAACCCAGTGCCACGCAGGCGCTCCCCGCTCCTCGTCTTCCCAAGGCCAGGAAGGTGGAGGGGAAAAATGGAAGTTCAGGGAGGTCAGAGGCCCGCCTGCGGCCTCACAGCAAGTGTGCTGGGATGCGCACCGTGTCTCTGGCTGCAGAGCTGTGCGCCCGCCCCCTGGGCGTCAGATACACACAGGCGGCTGCCTTTTCTCAAGGAACACCGCCAACATGGAGGGCTCACCCTGTGCTGCCTGCCAGGATGGGGCTGGCCCCTGGAGAAGGGGTCTGGTTAGGCCCCTGCAAACACAGAGGCCGGCGTGGGGGCAGGGGAGCACCTGCCTTGGAGGGGGCTGGCACGCCACTTCCACAGGGCACCCTGGGGCCACGGGGGCTCACTGCCTCCCCCGAGAGGAAAAGCTACTGTCAGTCTGATGGCAACTCCCCCACCCAACCCCCAAAGCACTCAGATTCCAGCACGGATTACTCCCTAGGACCTAGAGTAGGTGCCAGGGCCACCGTAGGCTGGGGATGGGGCGGGGGGTCCAGACTTTCCCAAAGCAGAGAGCTGGGGAGCCCCGAGCCTCGGTCACATGCCCAAACAAGCTCCGCATAAACTCTAGGAAAACTGCAGGGGGGTGGGCAGCAGACCCCTTGCAGGTAACACTGCACGTGTCCCAGCGTTGGATCAGTCCGTAACAGGAGAGGGTGCCGAGCCCACACTGCAGTCCCGCTGGTACTGTGCCAGGAACCGTGCCCAAGGTAGTCAGCACCACCACACCGTCGTCAGCCACGGTCTGTACCTGCGCGTGTGAAGTCGCACTCCCCGTCACGCGTACACCCCTGAGAGCAGGAGGCGTGTCCTCCACGGGCCTCAGGGGCTGCCTGGCGCACTTTAGCTGAAAGGAGGAATCTACACCAGCCTCACGGAGCCACATAAACAAGGGTACTTCCAGAAGGGCACAGGAAATGTTTATCACGAGAAATCCAGGCACGGATTTCAAAACTGTTTGGTACCCCGAAGAAATGTATCCTTTAATTGCACTTTCCATGAGGCTTTTGAAATATCTTCCAATTATAACCCTCATTTTGTAGCCGGAGAGCCAGCAGGAGTCTGGTGGGGACAACAGCAGCTGCTGTGTACCGAGCATCTGCCGCGACCCAGGCCCTCGGGCCCCCGAGCACAACACGGCCGCAGGGCAGGTTTGAGCCGCAAGTTATACAGGTGGAGGAGGTCGCACTGATTGCTTGAGACAAGCCAGCTGGGAAGTGGCCGGGGCAGGATTCCAACCCAAGTCCAGCGTCAGTCCTTCAACTCCAGCTGGGTCCTCTGGAGCTGGCAGCCGGCAAGCGCTCATGGGGACGTAGCTGAACCCGTGGGTGCCCAGCTGTGGCTCTCCCAGGCTCATTTCTCCTCTGGAGGCAACACGTCCCAGGACGGCTCATGACCAGCCTGGCTACTCCCGCCCCCATGACATCTACGGCCTGCTGCGTGCTCCCCTTCCCCCTCCGCCCCAATCCGCAGGGCGTATCTGACCCAGGTCCCATTGTCAGAGGCCCACCCAGGCCTGGGGGCCCTGCCAGCTCTGCCTCATGACAGGCAGCTGTGGTGTGGGGCTTGGAGCCAGGAGACTTGGAACCCTGGCTCTGCCACGTACCAGCTGGGTGGCCTCAGACAGGCCTCGGCACCTCCCGGGCCTCAGTTTCCTTGAGTGTGCATGATGACACTGGCTCAAAGAAGTCTGCCAATCCATGGTCTGGGCCACCAAAGTGGTCAAGAGACAGAGCTGCCCAGAGTCTGGAGCCCTTAAAGGCCCCTTGGAGCAGTGGCGGAATGTCCACAGGAGGATGTGTCCAGCTGTGTTTGCCATCACCAGGGCCGGCGCCCAGATGCTGACCACACGGAGGCCATCCCCTGGCTGGACCAGTGCCGGGAGCGGCCATCTGCACCGGGACATCCAGATGGACATCTCAGCTGCTACTCCTAATCTGAGCTACTGCAGTAGATGACACTCGTGTCATCGGCTTTGCGAAGACAGGTGGGTGAGTCTGCACCCTGCTCCTGGCTGCCTTGGGGCAGAGCGATGCCAGGGACCGGGCTAGACTGGGAGTGCAGCCGTGTCAGGGGACACGGCTGGGGCAGTCCCGGCCGCCGTGCACCGCAGGGACAGTGGGCACTGCTTGTGTCACGGCACCTTCATGGTGAGCCTCCGCAGCAGGTGCTCTGCCTCCCCGCGCCTCGTGGACGAGGAAAAGGGACTTGGCTGAGGTCACGCTGCATGTGGGTGGGGCTATGAGGACATGGATTCAGGCCCCGTGACTTCAGAGATCTGGGGCACACGGTAGTGCTAGGGGCTGGGAGGCCCTGTCTGGCACAGGGACGAGAGTCCCAGCTGCAGAGCTGGGAGTGTGAAAACCTCTGCTGTGGCCTAAGCCCCACCCCCAACCCCAACCCCGTCCCGGGACCCTCCTGCCAGCTGGGCTCACCCACAAACTGGCCCTCCTTGGAGACGCACAGCTCCCCGGACCACACTCCTGCTCCGCCCCCTCCTCCGTGCCCCACACAGGGCTTGGCGACACTGCTGCGGCTGCCACAGAAGTGCCAGCCTGACCACTGTGGTGGACAGAGACCCCGGGGGCCGGGACCCAGCAGCCCTTGGCTCGCTCTGCTGCAGCAGCCCCCTGCGGCCTCTACATGGGGGGCTGGGGGCCAACTCTGCTTCCCATAGTGAGTGCAAGCTCCCAAGCAGAGATGTCCCCCAGATGCCCTGGCCCCGGGCCGGCAGTGCCGGGCTGACAAAGGAGGGGTCTTCCTGAATAGACCCCTTCTCTGGGGCCAAGGGACAGCCCTGCTCTGTGGCACGGAGCCGGCGGGAGCTCAAGCCCACGGCTGGCCCTGGGCTTCCCGCAAGCCCAGGACTCACTGCGGCCTTGTTCTCCCATCGCCACCCTCGTCTCACTTCCAGCCCCTGTCTGGTTTTGGTTTTTCTCACACAGCTATCTTTTTAATAAGGAAAATTCTGCTGTG